GAACCTTTCAAATATTTATAGCAAGGGTAAACAATGTCTAAATAGATTATATATTTATATTTTTTTTTATTCAAATTTATATAGGGTCGATAATAAATTGTTAGTTTATGAATGAGTAAATAATTTGATAATAACAACTAACTTGTTAGATTTCTGCTTTTCTCTCTTTTCTTGTCAAAATTTTGGATTAAATTTGTTCATTCTTTAAAAGTAAAGCCATATTTTATTACCTGTGGAGAAATCAATTTTCGTAAAAAGAGAAAATAAATAACTTGTTTGAATCAAAATCAATGTTATTCTCTAAACTAAAATAAGAAAGAGGGTCCTCTTGGACTTACCCTACCTCTTTGTTCTTACTATGGGGCTTTTTTTCTATGGTTTTCTTAGTCTTATAGTTAGTCAAGGATTGTTAATATGGAGTTGTTTATATCGGCTTCTTTCCTCCAGAGTAAAATGGGGTTGAGCGATGCGCATTCCGCTATGCTTCAAGACCCCACAATAACAATAAAGAATGTGCTGAATTATTAGCAGGGGTAGAAAATGCAATCGTTAAGAAGTCACAACCTTCCAAATAGGAACCAACCAATCCATGAAAAATGTAAAAAATATCGTTTAAAATTCAACATAGAATATAAAGGGGTAACGTGTAGCTTATAGTTTTCTATAATAGTCAATACGTTTTTATGCAAGTTGTCCAAAATTTAATTGTCCATATGTGGCATGAAGAAAAATGAAGCATATATTTTTTAAACCATATTATTAATATTAATCTAATTTAAAGTATATCTTTTTGAACTATTAAAATTGAATATATAAGCTAAACCCTTTTAATGTTGACGAAAAGTTGAAAATTATTATGCTATTGATGTGAGCACGATTTTTAATGCAAAATTTAAAAGCTTCCAAAAGAAAATTCATTTGGTTGCACAACTTTTGACTTAAATCTTTAAAGTTTTCAAGACAAATCATTAAGCGAGACAATTCTATATATCTTACTAGATGGAAAACATTTCTAACTATCTCGATTGACAATGTCTTTTAAGATAATTTGAAGCATACAAAGTTTCAACTGTCTTGATTTGTCTACTTAAAAAATTTAAAACTGTCGTGACTAGTCAATTGTCATTCAAGACAATTAGAACAATCTAGCATATTACCTAACAATCTTACAAAATGAATAATGTCTTGAAAGTTTTATAAGATTTATCTGAAAAATTGTACACCTATCAAATAATTGTTAAGTCTTGTTAATATTTGGACATTTTCAAGTAGTTCTTTTATAAAAAAGGGCATGCTCCTATTGTCATTTATGAATATTATCGATGTTTGGGTTCCATTTTAATTTTATTACATTTTTTTTCTTTTTTTCAATTACACTTTTTTTAATAAAAAAATATTGCACATAAATTAAAAAAAAATTCTTTCTTTTTAATCACTTCAAAATACATCTTTTTCTCAAAATATCATTAAAATGGAATCAAACAGAGGCTTAATAAGAACGAGTTTAGAAACGGAGAAAATCCAAGGTCGTACGTACGCGCGAAGTTACAAGCTAAAGCTGCTATTAGTTGAGGATGAGTATAGGTTTATGGGCTCCAATCCAAGTAGAATAGTGCTACATCAACAAATGATAATGATGGAGGTGACAGGATGATGTGACAGACAATGATTGAATGTTGTAATTTTATTTTATTTTCAAATTGTCCGATATGTATTGACACGTGTTTTCTCTGTCATTAAGTCTATCACCAAATATCAAAGTATCGAATCCAACTGGGCAAGCTGACGTTGCTAATTATAAACTGTGCAAACACCCCTATACCTTAGGTTTCAGGGAGTTGAGATTCGTGCCTTAAATTTCATTATTTTTGCCCGACTGCATCACATTTCTTACTACTTAACGACACCCAACTGTGCAAGCTGACGCTGCTAATTATCAACTTTTACTTCTTTCTTTTCTCTCTTTGCTTTCATGTTTGGCAAAATAACGAGAAAATTAGAACTACCCCATTTTTAAGTAGTGTGGTGATAGATTCTCGATCTTTAGAAGTGAAATTTTGTATCATAAATCCATTAGCATTTGTAAATTTGAGTTTCATGAGTTTGAAAATGTCAATGCAAGCGTTAAAAAATCACACTAAAATTTAATATGCTTAAAATTTCTTTCCCATTCTAATATCTACCCTAAAATCACACTAAATTTACATGTGATTTTAATATCTACATTGACAGATTATATGAGTTTTGATTCACATATTCAAATAGATTGTACACTTATAACATCCATTTTACATATGGGCAGAATGACGTAGGGTACGAACCTAGGTTTGCTTGCTATGATTGCCACGTAGTGCCTCTACCTGCCTCGCTGGAAGAGACGTAACAATAGTCCCCTAAACCCATGTATGAATATTCATATTATGCATGGACTTTTGAGTTGAAATGTTTTGTCTCGTTCATGCCTATGTTCTATTTTGAAGAGGAGGTGCTATGGCGTGGACTATTTTACGTTGGTTGGACCTGTGCTTTTATAACCTTTCAATTGCGAAGGGATAACATGGCATAAATATCATCTTTTTAATTAGAATTTGCCAGTTTCATCATAATTAATGAAAGGGAGCCTTTATTCAACAAAATATAAACAAAACTTCTAGTAGAATTCGCCAGACAGTCTGGTTAATTGATCGCAAAGAAAACTAGGGAAATTTTGAAGTCGTCATCCTCTAAGTTGTCCAAACCTTCTTACTTGGACGGCCCTACATATCTAATGGATGCGGTCTACTAGGAATATATATTTCGAATTAGCTCTCGTACGAGTTCTAACAAGTGTGTTGCTCATGGTCTCCACATTCTAGCAATTCGTACCATTCTATATTTCCTCGTGGATTATATCAAGATATTAGATTTGGAACATTCTTTTATTTGAAGCCTAACGAAAGAAACATTCTTAAAGTTTCAATATAGAAATTAATATACATTACCTTCTCCGACTTTACGTGTAAGCAGTACACAATTGGCTTCCATGTTTCCCATCTTCACCCATCAATATTTCTTTCCTTCTGATTTTGGGAAAAAATGGCTCTATCTTCGTTTTTCATGATGTTGTTTCTTGCATTTTTCTTGCTATTCTCTACATGCAAAGCATCTTCTTGCAATTTCTAAATTGTGGGTTATTCTCCAGATGATTTGACGAGCGTCGATAGTCTCATTGATCTATTTGATGAAAAAAAAAAGTTTGAACCCCAACCTTGAGGGTCCTCACCGACCCGCCCCTACAGATTTGTGAGGAAGGTAAATTGCCAGATGTGCCCCAACAGGCCAGGAAACAAGAGCTGTCTCTACATTGCACCTACAAAAAGTCCAATTTCATATCTCAAGAATCGAACATCCACACTGCGGCTGCCAATAAGACGTGAGATAATCTCACTCCTGTCCTTTGCATCACTGGACTATGCCTCGGGAGGCCATTGATCTATTTGAATGGTGGATTGAAAAACACGGTGAGAAGTATAAGAGCATTGAGAAGTTGTACGTGAGGTCTTTAAAGACAATCTTAAACACATCGATGAGAGGAATAAGAACATCCATAACTACTGGCTCGGTTTGAATGAGTTTGCAGATTTGAGTCATGAAGAGTTCCAAGAGAATGTATATGGGCTCAGTGTTGATTCATTGCCTCAAAGAAGTGAATCCCCTGAACAATTCAAGTACAGAGATTTATTCAATTTGAACAAGTCCGTAAACTAAAGAAAGAAAGGGGGCAGTAACCCGAGTCAAGAACAAAGGTTCATGTGGTAAGTACCTAAAACTTGTTGCACAATGCATATGCAAAACTCAATCTTCGGAAATTAATGACTAACTTGAATGATAAATATGTATGCAGGAAGCTGCTGGGCATTTTTGACAGTAGCTACAGTTGAGGGTATAAACCAAATTGTAACTAGTACTTTAACGGAATCGTCTGAGCAGGAGTTGATTGACTGTGACACTACATATAACAATGGCTGCAATGGAGGTTTAATGGATTGTACATTTGCCTTTGTTGTCTCCAATGGAGGACACCATAAGGAAGATGACTACCCCTATCTGATGGAAGAAGGAACCTGTGAAGAGAAACGCTAGGCCTAGGATTAATGCAAGATCATCTTGTAAATAAATGGATTAGTCCTTATCCTTTGACAATATGTTAAAAGGATTAAGCCATAATCCCAACCCCAGTAGCAAGAATGAATGAAACGGAAACAGAAGCACATACACATGAACATGCACATTTTTCATTTCCTGCTACGAATTTTTCACAAGCTTTTTTCCTTAAAAAGGTTTTTCTTGTCACATTGAGAAGAATGGTCCTCTCAGATTCATTTATGTAACATATGAAATTATGGTTACCTTAGACAACACAAGAATGCCCGACATACCCCTAAAATAGGGGGATAATGAGGAAAAATATTCGGCTTCACTTGGTCCAACACAATAATCTTCTAGCAACTGATTTCAGGATGTATCCAAGGTGCACAATTAGCAGTTACCATGATGTGCCAAGGAACGATGAACAAAGTATATTCAAAGCACTTGCAAACCAGCCTTTCAGTGTGGCCATCAAGGCTTCTGCTAGAGATTTCCAATTCAACAGGGGGGGTGTATTTGACGGGCACTGTGGAGCTCAGCTTGATCACAGAGTGGCAGCTGTTGGATATGGAACAACAAATGGTTTGGACTACATTTTAGTAAAGAACTCGTGGGGAGAGGAATGGGGAGAGAAAGGGTACATAAGGATGAAGGGAAACGCTGGAGAGCCTGAAGGGCTTAGTAGCATCAACAGAATGGCCTCTTTTCCGACCAAAACTAGGTGAACTTATTCAGTCTTTCCTTTTTTCCTCACTACCAGTTGTCTATTTCCTACATTGTTGTTAATGTGTAATTTAATCATATTAAGAAATAAGGGCAGACAAATCTTACTGTAGATGGTTCTAAACTTCTAAACATAATAAACCACCAAATTTAATGAATTAGACATGCCAACTAACTCAGATTGAATATGTCACCAACGAAGCACTTAAACACAATCAGCATTATTTGTTTATGATTCAACTGAAACTCCTAAAGAAATGCAGATTGAAGCTGCAAGTCTAATAGTTTGCTACAGAAAAATAAATGAAGCAATCTTGGCACCTTATGAATGTGGCTATTAAGGCCATTATACCAATTTTCAAGCACCTTCCGTTGAAACACGAGGAGCTCTTGGTTTTAGTACCACAACCTCCAATATACCATCTGGTCGAAAACTCGGCGAAAATAATCTGGGGTCCACTGGTCCAGGCAAATTGAAAGATATGGTGAAAGAGCCTGCAGGGCAGAGCTGATGTAGTTTCAATTCAAATTCCTCAGATTCATTTTTCAAGATTTGAGCATCTGCTACCACTCCCTCTATGCGCACACTTCCGTCCGAATGTATATTACACTTCAGATTACCTGATATGAAAACTATCGCGTTAAAAATTGTTCAGCTTTGTACTTTGGCTTGTAGAGTATGCATGTGTGACACAGAAGAAAGAAATTAGAAACATACTGTTACTACTCTTAACACCGGGAAGGGCAACGCGGAAAAGGTAGCCACCTTCACTTTCTCCTATGTCAATAAGACCGAGAGGTGGTCCAATTGCACCTTCTTTAGCAGTTCCTTTCAAAGATACAGCAAGTTTCAATTTTGGAGATGCCGTGTTCTGTTCTGGATACATGCTTCCGAAAATAGAATTATTATCGCCCAATAAATGCTGGCTTTCTGCACATTAGATGAAAATCCAGATGAGGGCATTACACATGGTCAAGGACTAAAAATGTGCTATGCTTCCTTGTTTATTCGGAAAATGTATACATCTATAAGAATTTTAGGAAAACATGAATTGAAGATATATTGAAAACCATATCAGCAACATGTAAGCAATTAAGGGGAAAATGTTATTAAAATTACCTAAGTTGAAGCTTCACACTTGCCTTCCATAACTTGCCGTGCTTTAGTGCTCATTAGTTATATTATAATAAAATGCAAATTGATTGATGCTTCTATTATTATAGCCACCAAAATTCCTCCCTTGCATTGTCCGAGTCGGTCAACCACCCGATTCAAAGTGGATAGACAACCAAACGACCCTCACTTTATCATGAAGGAAAAGGTTAATTTTGGTCGATGCGAAGAAGGTTGAGTACATTAGTTCCACTTGCACTCTCATCATTTGTCTCTCCACTATCACTACCAATTGACTAAATGCACAACAACTAGTTCGTCTAAAATATCTTGTTCAAATATTCTAGCTAGATGCATCTAGTACATCGACTGTAACTAAATAATTATGAATGGGAAATGTAACAAATCTTGCATCGTGGCATCGCGATTTCAGGACTGAATAAACATTGACCCCATCTGTAAAGCAATCTCATCACACCCTACCTCCATATAAAGAAGGTGAATATCCCACTTACAATCATTCATCGGATACATATCTTTCTTCAAGAATATTTTTTTTTTTTCCCATACTTCCTCTCACGCCGAAGGAGTAGCCACGTGGGAGTACCCCAACACTTTGGCAGGTTTTAGGCCATTAACTTCGCCACAGACAGAGGAGGAAAATCAGCACTAGCATCATTGATAAAAGAATGTTTTGAAAAATACAACTAATTATTTGTGCAAAATCCCTTTGCATAGATTAAAAGACAGCGAATATCCAAAAAAAGTTATTCTCATGTATGAGTTAAATAACTGAGATTTTCTACCCATGAGATAGCAACAAAAATTAAAAGTTTCTACATTGCACTTATGTCAGCATCGAAGCTCAAAAAATTAGCACAATAAGATGTTATCTGGAAAATAATGACAAACTTTTGAACACCCGGCGCATATATAAACAAAGATACGATATCACAGCAGTGTGTGTACATCAAATCACAAAAAAGAAAGCATGTTATCAAAGCAGTGGTAACTACTAGATTTCTAGAAGGCTAACATTTAATTTAAAAAATATATATGGGAAATGGGGGTCCTCTCCATCCTAGAGGCAGATTCAGCTCCTCGATGCTGTGTCAACTGGAATGTTTTCCAGTATTTAACATTGTAACGACAAATCACAAAAAATCTTTCATTCCCTAAGATAACCCCTGCATGTTTTTGATTTAATCCTAATTTCCGCAAATCAACTTGGCTATATTTGTTGCCTTTATGGGTCTGGAACTTGACAAATTGATTTCCCATGTGGACATTTAAATTCATGTGTCTTTTGCGCTATCATTAGAAGAGTAACATCACATAATACACAATATTAATGAGAGAATTGAAAATTTGAATTATCCCTGCAAAACATATGGTTGATGAGACCAAATATATTTTTTACGCAGAAGCGTATTAACTTGAAGAGTGTCTTCACATAATACACAATGTTAATGAGAGAATTGAAAATTTGAATTATCCCTGCAAAACATATGGTTGATAAAACAAATATTTTTTGACGCAGGAACGGTTTAACTTGACAAATAAGAATTCGAGAACAAGAAGAGAGGTGGTTCAAGACGAGAAAAATTGAGGGTATGAACAAATTAATTTTTATTCATATATTAAGGGTTGTCCATTACAATGAATAAGCTCTTTATTTATATAGCAAGAAGGATATTTTTCATGCTTTTATTTAAAAACTACCTTCCTAAAAAGCTCATACTCATCTTCTTGGGTCACTTGCAACTTTACCACTCTCACCAACTCTACGAGGGCCCACATGGAGGACACTCGTCACACACCTAACAGCTCTACGAGGGCACTCATGTCACTCCTACTTCCACATCATCTTCCCGTCTCTCCGTAATGGTGTATTTATTGCTAAAAAGTAAGAAAACTGAGAAGACTTCTCTAAAAATCCAATCCCAGTGACTGGATTTTCAAGATTTGACCAATTTCAACAACTTGCAAGCACTTGGGTCATTTACTTGTTACTCTCACTGGATGTAGCAAGTCTTGACAAACCACATGAATTCAACTGTTCCTAGTCCCGCATTCATGAATAAATAATGATGATAATTCAAAGATCCAACACCAGAACTATGAAAAAACTGGAGAAATTATATGTAGGTAAGAATTGCTCTGAAACCGGGAACTGCACAGGTTAAAGATATGATGGATTACAGTTTAATACAAGAAAAGAAGAGAAAGCCCTTTGTCTTCTTACCAAGCTCCAAAGCTAAGATACCCTAGATGTAAAGCAAATAAATCATCGTTCTTCTCTAAAAAGGAATAGAAAATGGAACAAATATGAGGGACAAATTTATTATTGATTGTGTAGGGAAAACTATCTTTCACGTCTTTCGTATATCAGGTGCATTATGCAAGATAGAATACAAACAAACATATGTGCGAGGAAGATTGGTATCTTGGGGTAATTAGTAGTCTTTAACTTTGAGGCAACCGGTGTGCTAAACAAGCTAATTACTTTCATTCAAATTAAGTGATTTCATAAAGACTTGAGTAGGGTGTTTGAGAGAAATACAAAGCAATGCACGCAAAAGGGTTTAGAGTGCTCTATTGCGAGTTGAGCAAAAATGTACAAGGGATTAGGGATTGGGCACATATCAAGTATTGTATTTATCTCTCATGGGAAAGTATGGCCACTCTCCATGGATATATGAAAGTTAAGGTGAACTGTGATAAAGTAGGTCATTCACTTGCCCTCATATTCAAAGGCCGAAACTTTGCTCTATATACAACAGAGTGAATACCAAACAGCAAACAGCTATAAGCAATTTAGAACAAACAGATCCATACATCTACGTAACATCAAATAAATAAATCCTAAATTTACGATTTTGAATAAATATACACAAAAGTATAAAACCCAAAAAGGAAATGCACATAAATATCAAATTCAAGAATTGGAAAAGACATAACTTCACCTAGATTCCCTTACCTGAATAATCAAGAAAGTTATTGATCTAATAAACACACTTCGACCTCTTCAAAAGTGAAACCGAAATCTACAAAAGCCCACAATCTAATTATTTGAAATTGTAAAATCGATTTAAGATGAAATTACAAAAATTGATATGCATTCTCTCAAAGTCACATGATTTACCTTTAATCCGTTTCAGCCCTCAGTATCCATCTCCACTGCTGTGCACTATGCGTAAGAAAATTGACACAAAAAGAGGCCAATTTTTAAGAGAAAATAGAAAGGAAGAAGAAGAAACTGAGATTTCTTGGAAGCAGTAAAGACGTCGGGCAAAGAGTTAGAAAGTGAATGTAATTTCAAATTTGAAGCTAAAGTGCAAAATATATTTTTTCTTGTTTTCCTATTTTTCAATCTGTGTTTGACCAAATCTAGACATACAAACAATAAATTCAGACAACATAGTACAGTGCCGTAGTTCTTCCAACCAAACGCTACACTGCGTACTGAATTGAAGAGGACACAATTTTATTAAAAACTTAAGGCTTGATGACATGAGCTTTAAACGTAAATGAAGTATATGAAAAATAAAATCTTAAAACTGACGAAAATGAATTCTCCTTTTAAAGATTTTTTATTAATTAAACTTAATTGATTTACATGAATCGGTTTCACAAGAAGCACAATTAATTATTCATACAATAACACGGGATATTTTTCATTCAATGAGGAACAAACAATGTAGAAGTTAAATTTCATTTCATGTGAGAGTTTTGTTAATAAAATAAGTAATACTATAACCTCAACGTTAAGCCCCTATTTGCCTTTGATTTTTATTTGGGTCAAAGTCAAACAATTAATATTAATCACATTTTTCATGATTCAACAACTTGGAAATAACACATTTCAAAAACTTATATCAAAATCTACTAAAAATCTAATTTCAATCACCATCAAATACCCTTAAGTATTAACCTTATTTCAATCAAATAATAAAAATTAAAATGAAAAATAATATTTAGCCTTGTTTGATTGAAATTAAAATTTTGAATTTTAATCTAAATCAAAATCAATAACTAAGTTTAATAACACATTTTATGAGATACAATTTTTCAACCATACATTACCTCGACACTTGTAAAAATTTACTAAAATTTTGAAGTGTAGAAATGAAACTAAACTTCTTGAAATAGATGTGGGTGTGTTTGTCACCCCTTATTTGGGAAGAGTGTATTATTAAATACTGATTGATATTGAAATGTGTAGTTAAAAAAAAAAGAAAAAAAGTTATTTACGTGTAATATTATTTTAATAAAAAATGTGTGGTTGAAATTGTAGAAAAAATAACGGGAGAAAATGGATGACAACCATTTTCTAGATCTAAGATATTCATTATGTATTCAGACACGTCATTAATTTTGTCAAAACATACAAGTCAAAACCTATTAGAATTGACACACTCTTCTCGGCCGACTTTCATAAAATCGATGTCGGTGTCAAATTTTGAAATTAAAAGAATGATACTCTTATTAAAACGAGACTTAACATACATTAATTTTACCCAATTAGATCCCTCCCCATTCATATTTAAAATTCTCATTTCGACACTCTTGATTGAGTAGGAACTTGTGATTAATCCTCGCAAGGCAAGATGTAACCAATTGTCAAAATGAAGAAAGTTTGCCGTCACTTTGAATTGGAACTTCATTAATTGCAATAGTGTAAATAATTGCAAGGGCAAGGCTCAACAATAGGTTAAATCTATGAAGTAAAAACAGTAGAATAATATTATTTGTAGTTGTTCATTACCGCAATCGCTATACGTGTCATATATGTGGTTATTAGTGATTTAATGCATAAAGTAATAAAAAAAACTATCACATTAATGCATCAAATCACTACCCGTCACATGAATACCACGTAGGGCGACTATGTAATGAGTAACTGCAAATAGCATTACTTTGGACATTAATACTGATATAATTAATTAGTGGAAAATCGAACAGTTATGTGGAAATACGTGTGTCAGACATAGTATTTAATACTTTAAAACCTTTATTAACATGGCATATAGCAAAATCGGAAAATTTCTTAAATTTGTATGAATAGGGATAAAAATTCCATTTTGATATCCAAATAACTATCTTATTCAAATGAAGCCTTGTTTAGTTTAGATGAAAATTAATTTTTTTAGTAAATTTTTATAAAAATTAATTAAATATATAATTAAAAAGTTGGTAAAATTAAATTTGTGGTTGAAAATGAGTTTGATATTTTAAAAATGGAGTCAGACATGGGTTAAATCACAAACAAACATCCTTCAAGTGGGTTAATATAGATATTAAATAAGCACAATATCTCTCATAAATAGCATAGCATATAGTAGTAATATGGTATTAGTAATTCAACGTTCTCTACTTAATTAAGAACCGAAATTGTAACATGCTAACATAATCCCAAAAATAGTGCTTCTCATATGTTGCACATACGTTGTATGTAATTACTGAACAATTGCATGCATGCAGATCGTGAATTGAGAAACTAAAAGTACTACAAAATTGAAAGGGTGGTACTACACATATATTAGAGTGTCCATAACAGTATCCATCACATCACATTAAAGGAGAGCCACTTCGAATTGTGTACAAGCATAATAGTCCAAATGGAAAAGCCATAAGACTCTCAAACACTAAGAAGAATAGTTTGAGAATCCAAATACACAATATGACATGTACACTTAGACAAAACATGCAAGGCATTAACCGAACAATACATTTAAAAAATAGTATAATACTTTTTCATATGAAACATTCGTGTCATTCATTGCAAGAAGAAAAGGGACTCTGGCTGAGCACAATAACATAGAAATTTTTACTAAAACAAATTTGAACGTATGTGGTATACTTGTCTTAGTGAATATTTGTTAAATGGGATTATAAAAATGACGATATTTGTCCATATATTTTCATAAAGAAAATGGACATTAAATTTGCAATTTCGACAATTTATATTGATGATTTAAATCTAACAAAAATTCCTGAACAACTACAAATCATTTGAAAAATAAATTTTAAATGAAAGATTTGGAAAAAATTAAAAAGGATATAAAAATGACGATATTTGCCCATATACTTTCATAAAGAAAATAGACATTGAATTTGCAATTTTGTCAGTTTGTATTGATGATTTAAATTTAATAGGAATTTCTGAACAACTACAAGTTATCTGAAAAATAAATTTAGATTAAAGATTTGGGGCAAAATTAAATTCTATCTTGTGGTACAAATCAAACATTTTCAAGAAGGATTATTTGTTCATTAATCTTCGTACACAAAAAAAAGTACTAAAATGTTTTTATATCTATTGGCATCACCTATATATAGTCGTTTGATCAATTGAAGAAAATAGATCAATTTCGTGCATTTAAAGGTGATGAAAATATTCTTGGTCCCGAATACCATATTTAAGAAATATTGGAGCATTAATATATCTTGCAAACTGTACTCGATAAAATATAGTTTTTTTATTTTTATTTTATAAATTTCCTTCCAAGGTAGAGCTCTATGCCAACTCAAAGATATTGAAATGTCTTAAACATATTCTTCGTTGCCTAGGAGATATTATTGACATGTGATTATTTTATTCACAAATTGAATTTTTTTTTTTTTTTTTTTATTTAATGATAGGCAGATGTGGTTATCTCTCTACCCCCCACATAAGCAAACTTGCAAATAGATATATTTACACAAGGAGGAACAATAATATCTTGGAAATCATTGAAATAAACTTTTATAGCAACTTATTCAAATCATTATGAAATCATTGCAATCTATGAAGTAAGTCGAGAATGTGTATGATTGAGGAACATGACCTATCATATTCAAGCATCATGTGGATGAACTTCAACAAATGATAGTCCAACAATATTGTTTGAAAACAATGCAACTTGTATTGTATAACTCAAAATGCTATATCAAAGGTACAAGACAAAAGCACATTTCTTCAAATAATTTTCTATGCACATGAGCTTCAAAACATTGGTGATATTGATGTTCAACAAACTAGCTCAAGTAATAATGTGGCTTACTTATTCACAAAAGCATTATTGACATCTACTTTAAAGAAATTGGTACATATTATTCGAATGCGTTGATTCAAAGATCAGCAGTTATCTGTAGTCTTTTTACTTTGTCTAGGTTTTGTTCCACTCAATTTTCTTGGCAATGTTTCAATTAAACATCATATTTTAATACTTCAAAAACTTTAACAATAAACTGCCATATTTTCCCTTGAGATTGATAATTTTTCATTGAATTTTTATCAAATCATATTTTCAACGAGACCATTATTGTGTAATTAATCATCAAGTGGAGAGTTGTAAAATTGATGAATAGTTATTGATGACTATTTAATTTTATCAAGATGTCTAGATAAGTCTTCCTCTAAAGTTTGTATCTTATTCAATTTGTTAACTCATCGAAATAATATACGTGGATTCATCGTCATTATAAAATTACACGACTTTTGACTTTACTTTTGTCTCTTGTTCTTTAATTTCATAACAATATTTTCTTTCGGAATATTCATTAATTCTTTAGATTTTAAAAGGGTACTCGACACAAAACGTCCCTACCTTTCAAGTTTATTGTGGAAAACGATCAAACCTTTCATTTTTTGACATTTTCGCCCCTACCTTTTACATTTCTTTGCGCAGAAGGTCTTTTTCATTAGTTTTTGACAATTTTACTCTCCATTTAAATAAAACAAAAATAAAAAAATAAATAACTAATTGCAATAATAGTCCCAAAATTTCAAAAAAATGACAAATCGGTCACAATTTATTGTGAAATGAAAAATTTTAAAATTACCAAAAAAAAAAAAAGAAGAAGAAGAAGAAGGGAAACTTGAATGTACAGAGAAATAATCAAGAAATAGAGAAATTTTTGAACCATAGCCAATGAAACTGAAAATCTTAAAAAATGGGTAATCATAAATCTCAATTTTTGGGCCCGTTTGGTAGGGATTTTGAGAATTGATTTTTTGGCCGTTAAAAGAAAAGTGGGGTCCACATGTGAGAGAAGAAGTCAAAAATTACGGCTTGAATAGTAAAATAACGGTCAAAAAATCAATTTTCATTTCCATTGGTTATGATTAAAAAAATTTCTCCATTTCTTGATTATTTCCCTGTACATTCAAGTTTCTTTTCTCTATTTAATTTTAAAAATTTTTAGTTCACAATAAATTATGACTGGTTTATAATTTTTAGAAAATTTTGGGACTATAATTGCAATTAATTCTTTATTTTTCTTTTTCATTTTGTTTCATTTCAATAGAGGGTAAAGTCGTCAAAAGGACCTTCTATGCAAAGAAATGTGTAAGGTAGGGGCAAAAATGTAAAAAAATGAAAGGCGGTGATGTTTTTAACAATAAACTTGAAAGGTAAAATGACAAATTGGTCACAATTTATTGTGAAATGAAAAATTTTAAAATTATCAAAAAAAAAAAAAAGAAGAAGGGAAATTTGAATGTACAGAGAAATAATTAAGATATAGAAAAATTTTTGAATCATAGCCAATGAAACTAAAAATCTACAAAAATGGGTAAGCATAAATCTCAATTTTAATTCAGTGAAAAGTAGATGAAGACTTGAGGCAAAAATCACGTAATCTTCAAAATTTCTCATTTCCATTGGTTATGATTAAAAAAATTTCTCCATTTCTTAATTATTTCCTTGTACATTCAAGTTTTTTTTCTCTATTTAATTTTAAAATTTTTTAGTTCACAATAAATTATGACTGATTTATAATTTTTAAAAAATCTTTGGGAGTATAATTGCAATTAATTCTTTATTTTTTTTTCTTTTCTTTTTGTTTCATTTCAATGGAGGATAAAATCGTCAAAAGGACCTTCTGTGCAAAGAAATGTGGAAGGTAGGGGCAAAAATGTAAAAAAAAATGAAAGGTAGGGATGTTTTCAACAATAAACTTGAAAGGTATGAACGTTTTGTGCCAATTACCCGATTTTAAAATATTGTGATGTTTACATAATTTTGATGTATGCGTTAAAATAGATGACACGGTAAAATCCCTATATAGTCATAATGTTGGTACCAAACTAAATTTGTTACTACAAGAAGGTTATAACTTAATGATGTGTACTTTTGAAAATTCAAAAACTTTTTTCTAAGATCAAGAAGTTGTTTCTGAAGATATTTGGTTAATTTTTTAAACGTATTTTATTTGGCTAGAAGTTCTTTTTAGAAAAAAAAATTGGCTTAATTTAGTTGCATCGGAAAACTCTTTTACAAGAAGAAAAAACAAAGATAGAAGTCCTATCTAAAGGACTTGAAATATGCAATGTCTTCTTAAACCTTTATTATAAGATAACACACATTTTTTGTTCCAAATAAATTTACATAAATATTTTATTTACTCTTAAACATTAATCTAACATAGCATATATTTTTTGCAATATACAGTTAATTATTACCATATAGAGGCACGTCCCTTGAGGCCTAGAAAAATTATAACTTTATTACTATGTGGAGTTCTTATTTATAATTTACTCAAATTGAGACCAAATGTGTGTGTGTGTGTGTGTATACTCGTTTATCCCCAAACAAGTTTATTTTAAGGAGGAATGATTTGACACTTGACTGACTATATAAATAGTTTTTTTTTTTTTTTTTTATCCAGGTATCCCAGCTTACACCAGACTAAATCCTGGACCTCCAAGACCCATGCCCTTAGAACCTTGGAGGGGGTAAATTGCGGAGTATGCCTCAACTGGATCACAGGTTCCCCTCATTGACTGTACACTTCTGAACACTAGAAACCCTCCTCCACAGTGATTGCTCCATACCAAATTTTTGACCACAGGTTCCCACCAAGAATCGAACTCTCCACCCTGCCGCTGGAAGCAAGCCAATGTTGATTGATCCACCAGTTGAAAGGTGATGAAGATGTTCATTTAGCAAATGTAGTGAGAAATTTGAGGCCAAATGCATCTTGTCAATGAACTTCACAAGACAATGAACTTCATATTTCAAGGAATCAACGAACTTCTTAAAATAAACATGTTTATGTAAATAATGCATCGATCAATTCTTCATTGATTTTGCTCTTTAAAATAACAGTCTCCTGAAAAATAGCTCACTAACACATAATGAATAAATAGTAAAATATATGCAGACAACTCTTTAATTATTTGGAAACTAAATCAATCAATAAAATAAAAAATCTGACAATTGAGCTATAAAATTACGACTAGAAGTATATTTCCTTAACATAAAGATAAACTCGTAACAATGTTAGATACATTGAATTTAGCGCCCTTTTTGGTTTAGATAAAAATCAAAATTTTAGTAGATTTTGATAAAAGTTAATAGAACATGTGGTTAAAAATTTATGTATACCATTAAACGTGTTGTTAAAATTAAGTGTTTAATTTGAATTGAGTTTTAGTCCACTTTTTTAGTGGAGGAACCAAACAAGGGTTTAATAATAAGGAACCTTTTGCTAATATATCGAGTTTTACATAATGGATTACAAAATGTCCATGTGATACTTTTATCATTTGTTAGTTTAAAACATAGTCAACTTTTCATCCAATCTTTTCCCTACATATCATTTTCGATAACTATTTATGTACCATTTTTATGTATAAATAGCAAAATCCTAATAATAATGTTGGCCACATGAAATGCAATACATATGCATGCATGGATGTTTATGTTTTGGCATTTGAATCATATGAACAAAGATTCAGGAAAAAAAGATTTTGACCAAATGGAGCCGACATTATTTTGTAAAAAACGAGGGAGGGATGAGGGAGATTCCCGATATTCCAACATTCACACCTTTTGTCAGCTGTTCTCTTGCTTATTCCATAGTTCTTACTTCGGAAAACTCGACACTTTTCGCTTTGAATTCTTCTTATCCAATTTTTCATTACTTACGATAGAGTAATGCTATTAGCATCATTGAAATATAACATCAACCTAAATGATAGCATAAGATAAATAGATCATAAATTCTTGATTTATTATAGGTCATAGCTCATAATGTCTCTAATGCTGTTATTTAGATTGGTGTTAAATACCAGTATTATTAGATAACATTATTCTTTATAATATTAATTGAGAATGGGCTTTATCAAATTCTATAGATGCATTAGCAGGAAGCGTTGACATGAACTCGGAACTGTAAACCACTCCGAAGGGCTTGAGAACATCCTTCGAAACAGTCGGATTTGGTAATGACATAAACTTTCAAGAGATCAAGGAAGAGTCTAATCTTGACGAATTCTCCGAAAGCCTATTATCTCATGTTGATTGAATCATCCATTTCAGAATATATCTTGAGAAAAAACATGTTTAGTATAACATATTAGATAAATCTCCATATCGAATGAACAAGATTTTTTACTTTTTTCCGTACCGAACATTGAACAGTTGTGCCGATCATGTTGTAAGTGGTAGGCAAATGTGACATGCTAATCAAATTTCTGGACCATGATCGAGCATATCAAAAGAAGAGAGACAAAGAGAATAAATGAAATTGAATATATATACTCAGTGGCTAAGCAAGCAACAAAACCCAAAAAAAATACCAAACTTGCTGTCTACTTTTATTATTTTCCAGACCAACTTATTTTGTAACATTCTTGTGTTATAAATGCAAGCAAATGGATAAAATTAAGTTGCTAGAAAAAGTAAAAGTGCCTAAATTTTGACTCGTCGAAGCCAGCCAATCATTTGAAATGCTTGAGACAGAGATTACTTTGGGCAGAGGAGAACCTTAAAGTTGTTGAATTCCTCAATCCTCAATCCTCAATCTCGATATAACTAAATGTTCTTCGATTTTAGAGCTTCCTTCCTTATGTGTCCTTTGAAAAAGCAATTCATGATCTGCTTAACTTATTTTAGCAGCAGAACCAATAATCAAGATTCACTTTTTCCACCTTTTCACTCGTATATATAACCTTGGAATTCCAGACTGCTTCATCCATTATTTCTTTTCCCTCATTCTAAATTCTTGCCTCTGTTTTACACTTCGTCATCAAGTTCATCATTCCTTCATGGAGGTACAGCCATTTTTCTCTGCCCTATCAATCATTTCTAGTTGCATTCTTACTCATGTTCTAACTCTCTTTCGCAGACGGTTGAACTCAAGGTGGAGATGGTTGGCATACACGAGAGAAGATTGAGGAAGTGCCTGTCAAAATTGAAAGGTACACGTGCTCGAAAATTTTATTAACTTCATTATTTTCAAAGAAAATGAAAGTCAGCTTGTGTGGTGGGACCCGCGCCTAGCGGGCATCCATCATCTGCACACATCACATTTCCGGTCCATTAGGGTGATTCCGGACCGTGTAGAATATATAGATACATAGTTATAATGCTGATGATTCTCTCCATTTTTGTTGGCAGGTATAGAAAAAGTAGAAGTGGATGGCAATAGTCAGAAAGTAGCTGTAACAGGGTATGCACATAGAAACAAAATACTAAAAGCAGTAAGGAGAGCTGGTCTCAAAGCAGATTTCTGGTCTCCACAAAATGATCTCCTTAATGCATATGCATATGGAAGCTTAAGATTCAACAACATCAACTTCTTCTAGAGATACCAATTTTTTGGGTTTTTTCATTTTTGCCTTTCCAGTTCTTCATATAGGACGATACACCAAAGAATATCTTTGTTTACGTATTTTTAATTTTTTGATTGTCTCTCATATTTTGCATTTAAAATAGCTGTTACACAGAGAAAATGAAATATCCTAAAATTTATCAGTTTCTTATGAGATTTTCTTTTTGAACTTTTGGATGGGGAAAGGGATTGAATGGGGCTGCACATTTGCTTCTAGTTCAAGTAATGGGAATTTATTGAAATACATGATTTAAAGTTTAGAATACGAGGGAGAAGTGATGCGAAAGAGCATAGATATGTCTGTTTGGACGTACAAGAAGAGTTAGTCCAGTCGCTCGCTGGTTTCGTTCTGTTTCCGAACCTTGGAGCTATATTTCAAATGTGATAGGCAACAAGCCAACAACCATGACAGTGAAACACAAACTAACTCTACTTGCTACCATAAATATTACAATCGAGATGGAAAACTGCCTCTGGTCCTGGTTCTCACAATCAAAATTACAAAAACCAACAAAATTTTAGCTTTTTTCTCATCTTTACTACTGGTGAGTCCATCTTATCAAACCAGTCATTACATCACAATGTGTTGATTAAAAAAAAAAAAAAAACAAAAGAGCAGAAAAGATCATTTCCGTTGCATGCCTTATATGTACTGGGATTATTGTTATTAGATACTCCAGTACTCTGATTGGATGGACTTACAGGCTCACCAGAGGATTCACTCTCGGGTAATGGTGAGCTGCTGAAACCAGTTTCACCACCCAAGCTGAGTTTCAATTGAACTGATGAAGGCTCACGTCGTTCCATAACTTCAATTCCTTACTATCACCTGGAATGAAGCTGCCAACGACGACCTGCAATAGTAGAAAAACCTACCGTGCAGTAAAAGCATTTGGCCATTTGGGTGAGAACAAGAGCAGTACTAATCAAGGCAATCTCCTGTGAACCTGTCAAATATTTTGTCGTTATTCAGCTTCTTAACACGTCTTCAGTATGTGGAATATCATATGGGCTTTTGAACCTTACTTGGGAGAAAGGACAAGTCGAAAATCTTACCTGTCCTGATCGAAAATTTGTGCGAAGGCTTGACAGACTCTGTAAATGAGAAACCAAAAATGAAATGCAACCATGACTAATCCCCTCAAGAAAAGCCAACGGAAGCTTTAGATAATGAAACTTCAAGCAATTTCTTGAGCTGAACTACATAGGCATGCGAAGCCATGAACTACATTTGCACCTCATGTCAGTATTCAGAAGCAACACATCACATGATTCAAATATCATATCCTTTTCTACAGGAGCTATACGTCCACATTAAAGTATCGAAGCTACAAAAAGAAATGTTAATGCAATCCTTAAACAAACCACATAATGAAACTTGTAAAGAGGGAATAGGAAGAAAAACAGAAAATAATCGAGAACCTCATTAGTTGCAGTTCGCCAGACATTGCAGCTTGACAAAGTGTAACATGCAATATGGCACTATTTGCAATAGGACAGAGAGATGGTCCTTGGACCATACTGAGAAAATCCCATTATTTTTTAAAATACATCCGGAAAAACCAGTTATAAGAAATTAGAAAACTTAACCATAATCCAGTCCAATTAATACATTCACATGCTACGACTATGCGTCCCAAAAAAATAGATGTTAAGATCTCGATTATGAAAACCCCTATAGAACTGATATCAGCTCTCTCCTCAAGGGACAATATGAATAAGAAATCATAAGAAAGAGTCTAAAACAAGTACGTTTATCAGCTCACTCTTTCCTAAATATATCAATAGGGCAGAGCTGAAAGTGTCCTTATTTGCAGCAAAGTGGTGAAGGTGGCCAAGAGTCCAAGAAGTCAATTACTTACAACTTAAATCCTTCACTTCAGTCGTCTGCTAAAAATATTAGATTTTCTGTACGTTGGAATATAACCATATGTACCTATAAATTCCATTTTTGCAGGGTATCCCCGTATTTTTCGTGGGTTCTTTATCAGAGAGAGATCCTATTTTGACTATACTATCATGAAATTAACTTTGCTGAACAGTCACCCTCAATTACCTTTTTTAAGCAGTCATCCTAAATTACCTTTTTTAAGTATTTTTGTAAATTTATAATTTTAAATCTGGAATGAATTTTCCATAGCGTAGCCCTTCAGTGACTTTTACATGGCAATGCTTAAGACAAAGCTTTGGCACGCAACTGGACTTCAGCAACTGTCCTCTTAAAGATACTAATATAAGTCAGTTCTGTTTATATTTCTGCAGTTAAACTGAAGAGTTGTACAAATATTGAATTCATCCTTCATCTCTGTGCGGCACGCTGTTTTCTTTATTAGTTATCAGTTTTGTCATAATAATTATCAGAGTTTTTACAAGCTTGTAAGTTTTTACTTGGAAGAAACACAATGTGCGTGCTGCCAAAATTTAATCGAATCAAGATTGTTTCATTTTGAAGTTAGGCTCTAAAATAATCCAGAATACAGAATGATTTATAAAAAGCCTAACGACTGTAGTTATGCACAAGATACAGACCCAACTCTAAATACAATGCAGGATTGTACCAAACACCACCAGAGACCATCTACACATCCAAAATGCTGGGACGGACTCTACTGAAAGAATCATATGTTGATTCTAACCATGATTTTTTCTTTTTTTACATACATGGGAAGGGGAGCCGGAACCCAATTCCGGCCCACGACTCTCTGCCAGTAATCCAGAATACTGGTAGAAATCGGGAGTTTATTTACATCATGATTGAAGGAAGTGCAATCCGCACATTCCCCTTTTCTTCTCTCCTCCAATGGAGCAACTAGGACATTGACTTCTATGGTGAGCGCGAAAATGTAACACCTGCATAAATATTGACACAAGATTAGACAGAGAAACGACAATAAGGTGTAAATGCATAAATATCTTAATCTTGAATATTCCTCCTCTTCTATATTGAGATTTTCAGGTCACTTAAACAGGACCAGATATACCTCCTTTTCTAATGGCCGAATATGTAAAGCTTCAAAATTGGAACATGATGCAAAGTCAAGATTGCATCACTGGGGTGATAGGAGCATAATTGCATGCTGAAAATATCACAGTATTGTGGAGTGTGAACTCCTTCCACAATCAATTTTGTCAATGAAATATAATACCAAATTTAGTTTAATTACATACTACAAGGTGCTACTTACTTCCCAGCACTGAACGACCTTAAGCTACCACTTTTCTTTTGGTAAAACTTCAGAGATATCGTCTGAAGCTAAGGCTACCCAACCCAGGACAAAATGGAAAGAAGACATTAATCCACTGGACATGACATCTATCTCTATTCCATTCTCGTTCCCTTAACTTTCTTTACATCAAGCATGAAATGACGACTTTGAGACAACCTGGTAGCTAATATAAAATTTGGGATCATGGACCAGAGAAAGAAGTGAGAGGATCAAGACTCAGTTGCCACTTAGAACACCAGAAGACCTTCGGTTTTATCACTAACCACAAAATAATCAGAACTTGGAGGCTGAGTTGCTGAAGATACGTAAATGTAACAACTGCAGTCTGCAGTCTCTATCCTGTGTTCAATCATTTCTTAGAAATACCTACAACATTTTTGGGAAGAAAACATTTTCATTTGTCATCTTTCAGTAGTGGAGAAAGTACTAAGTAATCCCGAACAAACTGATAGCATTAGGATAAGCATTCCAATTGCAGAATTGGATGCCATAATTAAGTATTATAGTTGTAGAACCAGACTTATTTCTGGTAATAATGAATAACTGAATGTTAACTAAAAGGTCAAACAACAGTAAGATTATTCACATTTCTAGACTTAAAACTTGCATGTCACCTACACTGATTACCTAATGTTAATTGCAAAATGATGCTTTTATTATTATTCGCAAAATGATTATTTTAATCAAGCATAGGAGTATAATATATTCTTAGGGAAAATATACCTCTAGAATGCAAAATGGATAATTTGCAAGGCTAGATTTGAAGCTCGCCACTCAAGTAGCAGAACTGCTGTTCTTAGTCCTGCCGCAATCCAAGGGTACCTGCAAAATAGCATCAAAATTATAACAAATATATCTAGCAAGAAAATCATATTATATCTACAAGAAGCAGGAGAAGATAACAGACACTTACAATGATCAACCCTCACCCAGCATTTTGGTCAGAACCGCTACCTTGCAAAAATTGAGGAGAATGAGCAGATAGTATGAATTGTGGCTGCGGAGTAATAGGTGCTGCGGCACCTGATACAACTAAAATGTTTAACTCAGATATGCCTATTCAAAATCATAAAATAGCAATGTACCATTTCAAGGAGAATCCAAAAGATGTAATTTGACCACTAGCCTCATTCAGTAAATGAAATGTCTTCGACTTAACACACACAAAAATAGAAAGGCCCCAATTGACAGAAGATCCAGTGAAAGAGAAAAACAAGATTGTTATAATACAGAAAAGTAGAAGTGCAGACAGTCCCGATTCTTTGGGGTCAATGGGCACTTCCCATTCAATCTTTTTATCTAAGGCATTAGAAACCTGTATTCTCATAGCAAACGGGTCAACTATTGACATTTTTTCTTCTGATTTTGAACAACGAAGCATAGCATTGTTACAGATTATAGGGAACTATAATGATGCCAAGTACTAATAAATAGGACTTGCAATAAGTACATACAAAAGTAGGTCCCATATAACATGTTTTTCTTCTAAATGATCCAAATAAATTCCAAAAGATGAAAATTTTACCTGTAGGGAACGGTGCTGGAACAGATGAAGTTGCCATTGCAGTGACGCTTGGCCCACCAAACTGCACTATCGGGCGACCAGACATTGCATATCCCTGCAATGTTGTAAAACCGTGACTTCCTGGAACAGCTTGGCTCATAGAGCTGTAAGGATACACAGTGTTGTTTACTGCTCCAGGAACACCATAAATTTGAAGGTATTGCTGACCTCCGTAAGGATTGTACATGCCCTACAGTATAAAACAACAATAACAGTGTGTCAAAAGCCAATTTGGCATCATGAAATTACCACAGAAACTATAGCTGTGAAGCTAGTGACCTGGGGATAAGCATATTCTGGACTGTAAGCAGCATACCTGAAACAATAGAAAAGATAAAACAAAGTGATAACAAACTTCTAAAGTACGAGTTATATTCCAGAAAACATCATATCACGTAAAAGAACTGTTGTATGTAATGCCATTTGAAACAAGTCCAGATAAATAAATGATATTATACAAATTATTACATGGGTAAAATTATTTGTTAAAGGAGCCAAAAAGGGGCACACGTGCCCAAATATAGAAATCAAAAAACAAAAAGATAATTGGTGACCATATGTATTACCCTCGTATACCTATTGACAATAATACTGAAATCTCACACCAAAAATGAAAAAATAAAATAAAATAAATCTGCATAGCTCATTGCAATCGCACGAGTATATCCCTACTTACCAGATTCTTTTTTATCATAATGTATCAATCAATCAATCTGTCTAGCTCTTTAAAATTTAAGCTCTTGCTTCAATCATCTCTCCCTCTTCTTTTCCATGTATCACTGAACTCATCCAATGTCCTCTGGACATCTAACAGAAAATTCCTAATCCTACACTACTCTTGACAAGAAGACACACCTAGAAACTTTCTAAACTTTTTCATTTTTTTCCCAATTAAATTAAAATCAAGACTACTTTCCCTACCTAACCCATGTCAATATACTCAACAAAGTAGATAAATTATTGAGAAAACAGAGCACTAATCAACAAAGTTGTTAGACATATACAATACTTGAATTCTTGACAGATGCTATATAGTTGGTTCTCATACAAAGTGCAATGAATGATTATAAAGCATTCAGTAGGTTAAAGAACACAAATTCGACATCAACATTATTTTTCACACTTGTTCTTCTTTCGGTTCATTTCCTCACAGGCCACCAATAAAATGTATACAGACCCAACCAGCTCATTCCAGTTTTCAAATTCTAGATGACTCATTATGTGCATAATACGTAGCTCACCCATATGGAGAATACATCAAGCCTTGCTGGTAACCATAAGAAGGTTGTTGCGGATGACCAAAACTTCCAATATAAGGAGCCCTTGCAGCTGGTAGTCCTCCAAGGTAAGGTGCTGGAGATCTAAGACGTCCTATAAGCAATAAAACGCATAGAATTAAACGTACTATATAGTTTATTGAAATATAACTGAAAAGATTGCTGCGATTATAGACATGCTGTCACGCTCCCAAATTCCAAAACACGATTACTACGGGTGATAGATAGATCTGAGTGGCACGATTACTCCCCAGAATGGTCTAGTAACCTCCTTGTGGTTGGAGACATTTTCCTCCCTTCCAGTGTGTGAAGCTAACTAAAATGCATTGAGGTGGAGGCAAAACTTGGATTCTCACAATCAAATCATGGATTGTTTTCTATAGATTTATTGGCTATTTTTCATGTGCAAGTTCTCTATTTTGACAAATTTTCTAGCACTTCTATACCCAAACAATTAAACAATTTAAATAAATGGAGCATACACCCCACCTAGTAGATATTGAAATGACTCAATTCAGACATCTGTTTTTAAAACATTAGTTTGCATGATATAACCCAATAACATTCGTAAAATTCAGGGAATGGGGCCAATCTTTGAATGTAATGGATTACAAATATTTTGCTGATGAGGTCAAATTACAAATGATTAATAATTAATTTATTAATCATTCTTCGATATATTTGGTCTAAGTTTGTCAACATAATCGAAAATTTGATCGTATACACATGCATTCACAAGAGTGGTTTACGTTAGGAAGCAGAACTGAAAGCTGACATTTATTTTGTGCCCACGACACCAGTGTGAACTCAGCTGATATTCAGCTGTCCAAGATCAGTGGTCTTTTAAAATCTTCAGTATAATACTCATTCTTATGCATGCCTATGAGAAAAACATAATGTTTTAAAATCTTTAGTATAATACTCACTCTTATGCATGCCTATGAGAAAAACATAATGAAAAAAACTCTTTAAAAGGTTTCAATCATCAAAATTGAGCAACTTCACTAATGATGGCATTCTTTCAAGTATAATTGACCATGCACAAGTGTGATAGCTATAGTCCGATGAGGTAGGTTACCAAAGGGCAGATAGGGACGAGGGCGTCCAAGTGAAGCCAAATTACAATTCGCTCTTCTCCCATCAATAATTGGACTCGGATCAGCACATGCCCTCCTAGCGGACTCTGGATGCCGGAAAGTCACCTAAACCCTCCATACAAACACCAATTTAAAGCATGTCATTCTATCACCCACATTTGAATTCATATGTAATTGATTAATAAACTAATGACAGAAATCCCTTGTTGACAGTAAATACATTTCAAAATTAAGAAAAACAAACAATTCCCAGAATCTTAAATTGCAAATTAAAGTGCCAAGGCTACTTAATTAGTAATCAGAATACACAATAGTGAGAGATTAGAATTTGAAAAATAAAAATGAAACACTCACAAAACCGTATCCTTTGGATCGGCCGGTGTTCTTATCCGTGATGACAACTGCCTCGAAAATTTCACCAAACTGCTCAAAATATCGCCTCAAGGTCTCACTCTGAGTTTCCCAGGCCAAGCCTCCAACGAAAACTTTAGTGAAAGTGGTGTCCCCAAATGGAAAATTCATATACTGAAACCCACCTGGACCCGAACCGGAACTTGGACCAGGAATCACCGGTGGAGGCTGATTGGCCATATAATCAGCCAAATTACTTCAACTTTTCAGTCAAAAAGGAAAAGGGAACTAAAGTTTCAAGAAAAAGAAGAAGATTCTGGAAGAAGGGAATTTAAATAATTGTGCGAGCAGTAGCGATCCTAAATGATACTAAAATTGATCAAATGAAGACAAATTAACATTTTTTAACAGAAAAGCCCCAAGAAAGGCTGAAAGAAACTGAAAAGCCATTTGATTTTGGATAAATGTTTATACATGGAAAATGGGATAAACAGAGTACGATTTTCGAATTTGAATTAAAAAAGCAAGAAAAAGAAGGAGAGATCAAAGAGCACAAAGATCAAGAAAACAGAAAAAGAAAATAAAAGAAAACCCTAGAATTAAGGTGGAACAGCAAAGTAGGAGTAAAAATGATGAAGTGGGGTTGGGAGCTGAACAAGCACATATACATACACACATATATACATAGAAAATACGAGGTGGTGGTAGGGAAAAGGTAAATCATGGAACTTAACAGTTTCACTTTGAAATAACAAAAGGATTAAGAATAACAATTTGTATTTACATGTCTATGAAAAAAGCAAATCAAGTAATTAGGGTGGTGAAGGGTGAAGGAAACTTGCAGGTGTTAGGGTTTGAAATTTGATAAGGGCGAGGGTGGTGATGATGGAGAGAGATAAAATGAAACAGAGTCATGATTTTTCCCACAAGTAGAGGGGACAGGGACAAGGAAAGCGAAGAAGACGAGTCTGAATATGAAAATGGTTTCCGGTTTTGGCATTCATTCATGACGTGGCATTTGTTGGCCCCGGCAACAGTGTGTCAATGTATTTCGTTTTCTCTTCCCGATCTTTCTATATAATTGACAAATTAATATTGGATAATATTAAAAATTAAAATTATACTCTTCAACCTTTGTGACTATAATTTTTTTATAATATTAAAATATGGATTTTACTGTTTGTAGAGTAATAAAAAATAATCAAAAGGAGTGATCAAATTGATGTTGAAGGAAAATATTGGTTGAAAAAAGTTGATTGCGTTTTAAATTAATAAATGATAGAATGTGATGTGATATTATGTTAAGCATTATATAATCCTTGATATATATATGTAATATTGTCATTAAAATATTGCTCTTCAACATTTGTGTAACTTGATTAGAAGTTTTTCAATCATGCTATACATTTAGGCTCAAATTCATATTCAAATCCAGATAGGACGTGTTAATGCATAATTGAACAGTTTGAAAAATCAAAATAAAAACACCCAATCATTTTTGACATATCAGTTTGTCTCTTCACTTCCCTATTTTGAAACCCGGCTAAGTGGCTTTATTCTAAGTTTTTGACATTCAAAAGTGAAGTTTTGAATCTCAAACTCATATAAATTTGTAAATCTAAACCTGTGTGAAAGCTACCTTTTAATTTGGATAAAAAAATAGATTCAATAAAACTTGGTGAAATATGTTATTGAAAAATTGATAAAACTTGTAAATATCCTGAAATATATAGTTAAAAATGAATTTGAGAAAAAAATTTGAAGAATGAGGACCAGACATTGGCTAAAATTGAATATTAGTTTCACAAGGTTTAAAATTGAAAGGCAAAAACGTCATACTCAAAAATATTATTCCTAATTTTTGTCTTGTAAAAATTGTTTATGATTTTAATGTCGTAATTCATATTCGCATATTTAAATAGGTTACGGAATCCAAAACTTCACTTTGAAGAAATGTTAAAGAGCCCAATTCTAAATTTTTTTCAAGTGAAAATCACAGAGTAAAAAGTTTGGACAGTCACCAAACTTCCCCCTTTGTAACATTGTGGTCACTGAACTCACTATTGCGGCTGGAGGGTCACCGAACTCCCAAACCCATCGCCCCGTCCATCACCCGGCGTCCCAGCCGTTTGGAACCTTCCGACGTGGCTTCACGGCAGCTGAAGTGGCAATCGACGGCGTCAAACTCGGCCAACATGGACGCGATTTCAGGCTGAAAAACACGATTCTTCACTCAAAAAACTTCAAAATCCCCAACCCCTGCCCTAAAATCCCGAATTCAAGGTGAAGTCTCCCCCAATTCAATTTGCAGAGCGTCACCATCTTCCAAGCGACCTGGTAGCCGTCCACGCTCGGAACCACATCCCGGTAGGCTTGAAGGTTCTTCGACATCACGAAAGAGGTAATGTCATCAAGTTCCAAACACTATTTTGAATCTGGCTGAATCTGAGTTTGTTAATGCAATGTGGTGGGTTGAAATTAGATAGATATTGAGGGGGTCAAACTACTTAAAAACATAACTAAAGCAGAAAGTGGAGTTGTTATTGGGTCAATGGAGACCATGGCTCCCCTGGCCATAATGTAGGTCCTTTCCACTTGAAAGATGTTTCATTGGACTTGTGCATTCAGTTATAGTTAATCTTCAAGTTAGTATGCGTGTCTTGTTGCACTGACTCATTACAATTTGATTCCAGTATTCGAGCTGGAGGTGTTGGTGTAAATGTTCAAGCTGCTGATACAGTTATTATATTTGACACAGACTGGAATCCACAGGCAACATTTCAATGCTGCTCTTCTTTATCAAAATGTAAAACCATTGATATGAGAGCTCAACATTTGCTGAAATCTTTCACGTCTCTCAGGTTGATCTGCAAGCACAAGCAAGGGCTCATAGGATTGGACAAAAGAAGGATGTTCTTGTTCTCAGATTAGAAACAGTGGGTACCTCGACCCTGGAGTTGCAGTATTTTTTGTTTAATTTCTTCCTGTCCACAAAATGTTAAAATTATGATGTTTCTGATATGATACCTTATCCAATATGGAGTTCTGACCTGAAGAATTTTGTTTGCTTACTGTTTCAATATTAATGCACGGTTCAACACCACTTTCTTTTTTATGATTATAATTTCCTTGAGGGATATTTGCTGTTTTGCTTGTGCTGATAATAGCACCCAGCTCAATCCTCACTCAAGTTTTGACATCTTTATGGGTTCCAATTTTCGGTACCTTAATATGATGAAGTTCCAGTGTTGGTGTTGTCTTTCCCTCAATTTACTGTTATTGAATTTTTTTGGAAGTGGATGCATAAGTATGGTACAATGGTTATTGTTAATGTTGCTTGAAGAGGCTGATTACGTTGTGCACCTTCCACTCTTCGAAATTTTTGAATTTTTTATATTGAAGAGGCTGATTATATTGAATTTTTGGCCGTTTTTATTAGTTTGCTGATTACATTACATTGTCACAGTTGTAGGAAGCCGGGGCACTTCTTGTATGATTGCCCAACAAAGAAACAGTGCACTTCTTGGAAAGATAAAGACAAGTCGAGAGGTAAATCAAGTGAAGGCAAGTGAACGTTACGTTCCGCAAGGGTAAAGGAGTTGCCGAGGATGAAGGAAACTAAAAGAGAATCTCCATGGATTATTTCTGCTTAATATTTTGCTTTGTTTGAAAACTTTCTTCTAGATTTAAGTTGATGTATGTATTTATGCAAGGTTTTATGTACCTTTATTTGTAATGACATTAACCTTTAACTAAGTTAATGATGCAAGAGCTTACCTACTATTTTGGCTTATTGTTTTGGCTTAGTATTTTACTTCGTTTGTATTGTTAGGTGGCTTATTGTGTGCAGAATCATCCCAAGTAATTAAAAGGCAGAATACTGGCATTTAATACTAAAGGTAGAATCATCCCATAATCTCCCAAGTAATTAAAAGTCTGCCTATATTTGCTGTGACAGAAACCGAACACCCAATTTACAATGTTCAAAAGAAGTCCATTTCATTGATACCACTAATCAAAAGGCATGCACCCAATTTACAATGTTCATTTCCATGTACAGCCATCAATGAACTAATTATACCACTACAAAAAATATTAGAGGACATCCAATAAACAATCTAACAAAAGCACGAGGATTCCATTGACAAAAAGGCCACCATGGAGATGTCACTCCGTTGACAAAAAGGCCACCATGGCTATTTCAATCTCAGCAATGTGTTGCAACTCATCGACCAAAAGTAGCGGCTGGTCCATATTCTAATATCCTTGAAGGCGATTCCCTTGCAACCGTAGGCGTAGGCATGAATTGCATTTGATTTTCTTCCCTTCGGCCTTGGCTCAATGTTCCCTTTCCTCTTGTGGCAACCAATTTACCCTGCCAAACCGAACTATAATTATTAATATCGGCCAAACACAATTATTAAATGACACAATGAAATGCAACTAGTTCTTGTATTACTTGTTCATTTACCAATACATTGCAATTGTTTTCAACTGGTTGTATTTCAACGTCTATCCAATCCTACGATAAGATAGAAATTAACAATATGACATTAGTTACAATGAATCTCAGACTTAAATGCAAAAACAAAATGGTACACTTACATCAACTGGAGCATTTGCACTGGAATGATATCGCTTATTATGTCCCTTCAATCCGCATTGCGAGCACGTCATCGTCATAGCCCCCTTCTTCTTCACATATGCTTTTCCTTTCATCCACACAACCATTTCTTCTGCCTGCTTTCGCCTCTTTTTTTGTTTTTTTCCCCCACGGGACACGGTCCACTTGAGGGGGAAAATTGTAGGTGCATATACTTCAGGCCACAATAATCTTCCATTAATTGGGTTCACAATATTATTGTAGCATCCCATGTATGTCTCAATACTATAACAGTTGTCAACGAAATCTTCGGGTTGATTCCTGCACTCGCGTATCACGGCAATGGCATGCATACACGGTATACCTGTGATATCCCATTTCCTACATGCACATGTTCGTTCCTGAAGATCAACAACAAATGTCCCGTAACTACATTCTACTTGTCACCTTGGCCCCCCAGAGAAGTGCAAAATACATTCCCTTGACATATCACTTGTCTGATCCAACTTTTTCTGAATCTTTGGACACAAACGACCTTGGCATCCTACCATCTTATCTCGCCTTTTCTGTATCCTTGTCATGAAAGTCATATGCACTGATGTAAGCATATTTAGTATCAACTTTTCTCTATCCTCTAACAATGTCTTATTGAACACTTCGCAGCCATTGTTAAGTACCATGTCGCTCTTCGAATGCATCGAAAAATGTGACTGACTCCACTCCCGAGGGTGCCTTTGTATCAACCAATCATATGCAGCAGTACTCACATCGTGAAGTTTTTGCATCCACATTTTAAATTCGGGGACGGTTGTGGACTTTGCCGCGTGCCAAAGATAATCCTTAAGAATTTTGCTCTTGAATCCTGCATTGAAGAAGTTTGTGTACAGGTGTCGTACACAAAATCAATGTTCTGCTTCCGGGAACAATTCATCACATACGTTCTGAAGCCCCTTTTGCTTATCAGTCATTAGTGTCCACCCGCGTCCGTTTTCCATTTGAATATCCTCGGCTAGATACTTCATGAACCATCTCCACGCTTCCGTATTCTCCTTTTCCACAACGGCATATGCCACTGGGTAAATACAATTACTAGCATCCTGTCCAACTGCTGTTAACATAATACCACCAAAACAACCCCGCAAATGGCACCCGTCAACACCAATCACTTTCCTACAACCATCCTAAACCCAACTTTGCAGGCATTAAAGCATATATACATTCCCTTGAATACTTGCTCCTTAAGTGTGATGAATATAGAAGATCCTGGGTTTGTTCTATGAACTTCCGCTGCGTATCTCCTTAATAGGCCAAATTGCTCCTGGAGGGTACCAAATAGGATCTCCTTCGCATATTGCCTCATCCTACAAGCAACATTTCTACTTATTTCCGTCTTCAAATCATTCCTCACAGTCGCTAAAATGGACTTTGTCTTCCAATCAGGATCTGCTTTAAATTGTTCAATATATCGATGCGTCAGGAAAATGTAGTTGCAATGTCTATTGTATTGACTCCGTGTGCATGTGTGTTCGGGGGTGTAAGACTTCACTTGCACCGTCTCAGTCTCGTTCAACTTCGAAGCCCAAATCCTCCAAGAGCACCCCGATTTGCAAACTCCTTGAGCTCTTTTCCTATCATTACACCTCAACTTCACATTATATCCGTTCAGAGCACCATAACTTCTCACCGCGCATCTAAACTCTTGCATTGATCGAAATAGTTGTCCGACCTCTAACTTTGGATTTCTCATATCCATCTCAGCAAAGAATTCAGGGAAGCGATAACCAACCTCTTCATCCGATGAACATTCCAAATTTAGCTCTTCGAAGGATGGATACTCCAAGTCATCAAATGTGTTAACCTCATCCATCTCCCCTCGAAGCACTACTTCTTCACCTTGTCCCACTGTGTTGATATCCATACCAATTTCAATACCGTCTATCACATTAAGATTGTACAGCATATCGTCTTCCTCAGAGGCCATATCAATATCGGATTGAGAGAAATCAGAATCTTCCTCACCACCTGTAAAAATTCGTGCAAAAAATAAAAAAAAATTTAAATTAAACCAAATATGTTTCTTCCACCTGCAATGTGATCACTAAGCCAGCTGCTATTTGTGTGGTAATGAAATGGAGTCTTAATTAGTTTGTTCAATCTAAACGGCACTCTCATTAAGTCGAAATAGCGTATTAAACACAAGTTGGATGACATGATGCTAAAATTGAAAAATGGTACTTACCTTCACTTTGGTCTCCCTCCATGCGTGCAAGTGAAACGGCTTCAGGCCTCGCCGGGCTACGAAGAGGAAGAAGAACAATCGCCTGCAGGGGGGAGAAAACGTTGGAGGGCTCGAGTTAGGGCAGGGGTTGGGGATTTTGAAGTTTTTTGAGTGAAGAATCGTGTTTTTCAGCCTGAAATCGCGTCCATGTTGGCCGAGTTTGACGTCGTCGATTGCCACTTCAGCTGCCGTGAAGCCACGTCGGACGGTTCCAAACGGCTGGGACACCGGGTGATGGACGGGGCGGTGGGTTTGGGAGTTCGGTGACCCTCCAGCCGCAATAGTGAGTTTAGTGACCACAATGTTACAAAAGGGGAAGTTTGGTGACTGTCCAAACTTTTTACTCGAAAATCACACCTAGCCCTACATTTTAACTTGTTAATTCAAAATTCAAATTTTAACTTCATTATTTCAAAATTAGATATACCATATCCACCCCATTCCTTTAACTCTAATTCGTTTTCTATCCAAACGAAAAGTCACAAAACTTCTTACCTTTCTCATTCTTCAATCACAACACTTATTACTATAGACAAGTCCACCGTAGTCCCATCCAGGACCACCGTGCAGTGGCGATGGTTTTAAGGAGGTGGGTTTTGGGGATAGTTTCTTCCTCCTTCGATTTGCTTAGTCTGAATTATGCGGTGATTTTTGTTGGTAGTTGTTGATGGTTTGCAAATAGTGGTAGTGGTGTGATGGAGTGAGGTGAGATGAAAAGCGTTTGTAACCAATAATTGATTTGTAACTAATAATTAATATATGATAGATAAAATAAATAATTTATGACTTATAAATAATATGTAGCCTAAAAATGTGTAATAGAAGCTGTTTGTAATTGTGACTCAAAATTTGTATCTTTGTGACTATGTAATTTGTGACCGTGACAATAATTGCGTGTTATTTTGACCTTGGACCTTAACTTGTTTGTTACAAGGTGATCACAAATGTAACCATCTAATTTTAGAATTTTTTTTCACATGTTTCTTATTTTCTAAAGTGTATCTTTAAACTTTATAATTATGTATTCTTCCATTTTTTTCAATCATATTTTGCTTCTGGTAGATACTAATGTATATGAGTCATACTAATTCTTTTCTATCAAGCATTACCATACATTGTTAATGCAGTCGTAATTTTTTTGGCATAGCTTAAAAGAAATATTTTAAGCTAAGAAATTTACTATTTTATACAAATTAAAACAAAATAAAACCCCGGTGGGTGGGGGGGGGGAGTGTAAATTTTAAGCTAGGCTAAATGCATTAATATGGTGAGGTTGTCAACATAATCGGACGAGAAAGGGACCTTGGCAGTGGTCGAAGTACGTTCCCACGGGAATAAATGTTACTTCTGGTGGAAAGGGCATCTTTGCTTCTCTTTTAATTATTATTATTATTTTTTTTTTGTCTGTATTTTAAAGATATTTTTAGACCCCAATTTAACCTTTGCAAACTTTTTAGAGGACAAATCTAGCCCATGTTTCAACCCATTATATAAAAATTCATTTTTTCTGACTCTGAACTCATTTTTAACTACACATTCTTCCCATAAAATAATTTTATACAAAAACTCAAAAAAATTTCTTACTTACTAATCCCAAATTCTTTAAAAAAATCACTATTACAAAACTCATTCTTTCAAGAAATGAGCTCACACACACCCCCAATCTATCGAACTTATAGAAAAACTTCTCCATGCAAATAATAACACGAACATGTCAGTTTTGTACGAAGAAAAATTGCTTAAAAGTAACTTTATTTGATTTTAACGTTGAAAAGCCAAAATGGTGGATTCAGCAGCTTGTCAATCCACGGACTGGGACGGGGCGTAGGCTGAACCTGAATGCGGTCCCAATACACGTGTGATTGAGGGATATTATATATGCTGTAGTTTATGTACATTAAGTCCAGCCACATTTTACCTGTAAAAGCACTTGAGATAAATCAGCTCCCACCAAACCATACATTACTCACTTCATTATTCACATCTTTGCTAATAAAAACACTTCCAACTAACACACTTCCCTTATATTGCATTGGGGTAATCAAAGATTCCATAAAAAGGTCTACATGGCTTTATTTCCTAGACGACAACCGTACGAGTAGAGTAACAGATTATATAAGAGATGACAAAAGTTATTTAAATTATAACTTCGGTATATTTTACAACATGTTTAACATAAAAGAGACGAACATTGCCAGCAACAACATAGAATTGTTGCAAACATGAGAACATGTATGAGAATACTTATTGAAGAGAAAGTGCATTTGTTGAAATTTGATGGCTTCAATCCAGAACCCAAGCCTGTTTGTAGCTCTCAACAGAATCAACAAGAGTTTCTTCGAGTGGCCTATATTTCAAACCCAGCCTCTGCAATTTTTCTGAACTGAGATTTCCCAGTTCTGCTCCCTCTGTAAAACTGCAACAATAAGGAAAAGCGTAAAATTCACAACCCGGGGCAAGCAATGCTAGTGTGATGGATTCACAAACCAGTTTACCAGCTACAAATGCGTAACAATGTTCTGGCACTAGTAAAAGTGTATTTAAATGATGAAAATATAAACTCACCGCTTGGGATATTTATAGTCGGGATAGATTTTCATCAGTTCTTCCACGATGTCCTCAGTTTTTAACATGTAAGCAGAACAAATGTATCTACCTTCAGCTTCAGGTTTTTCATATACCAATTTTAGTGCTTCAGCTACATCTCGAACATCAACTATCAGCCGGGTTTTGTTTTCCACTTCCTCGTGTCCTTCAATGTGAACAATAAGAAAAATAGCAATATATACAAAAGAAGGCCAAAAACCGATATACAGAACAACTATCAGAAGTTCAGATGATCCAGGTTTAGATGCTAAATGGAACAAAATTAATTGTGAAATTGGGACTATAATTACCTTTTCATATTTTCCCAATAGTTCACCTTAAAGATGTAATAATAAAAAGGAAGGAGGGTTATCTATTAGTTTTCAGTATGGTTGCTTTGATCTAGAGAGCACCAGATATATAAACTGTATCAATGTATTGAGAGTCTCGAACACTCCCATCTTCCAAAAGTAGAGAAGCAGAAGAAAGAGAACTGAAATGAGAGTAAGGATCCTAAAAATCTTCCAAATGCCCCACAGCCCGAAACTTACTGGAACATAAATATTATGGAAGTGTAAGATATTAGATAGACCAGTCATTTCAATGCATATTTAACAAGAGATGGGGAGTAGAAATGATTAGTGAACTTAGATTACTAACACAAAGAAGCAGATCATCTCATGCCAGCAAGCGTACAGAAAACCTAACTAAACTTTATTGGATCCACTGAGGCATTTTAAAAGAGGAGCTAATGAAACAACAAACATATTGCATTTAATTACTACCACAAACAAGACGTCTGATTTCATTTCTGATGTGATTTCAAGTGTACTGGTAATGATCTAACAATCTCTATTGATATAGATTTACATATAAGTGCAATGATCCTACATATTTCTGAATCTCATTTGTGTTTACAACCTCGATAAGTCTCAGTTTTAATGTTTGTGGTTTGGATACGGTTGAATATAGAAATAATTGTTAAGTTGTTTTGGCTCATGAAACTCTGTTCCTATAAGAATACAAACATCGAGTTATCTTGTCGACCGAAAAATGGTTGTCCCCCTCCCATGCCATGGGGATTCTTGAAAGTTGGAGTCAATCTGAAGTTTAATCAACAGCATGTTTGCAGTTGGAATCTGCAGGTTGGGAATAATCCCGGACATTATGCAGAACTGTACTGAATGTTAATTTTATTAGCCATTGTTTCAAGTGTTCCAGCTATAGCTTTAAAGTGACGTAGACATCAGCTTAGGACACTCAAACATTGTATTAGAATTAATCCAGAGACTAAAAATCATTAAACTTAAATTAGAATAAGGAAAAACAAACAGTGATAACATAAATCTGTATCAATAGAGATCCTTAGTTAGCTGTTTACATCCTCAAGTCCACTAGATGACATTAACTGGACACTTTAAATCACATTAGAAATGAAATCAGACGTCTAGTTTGTGGTAATGTTAATAATAAATGAATGTATAAAAAGATTACCATAATAACTTACGGCACTGAATATATTCAGTAAGCAGTAATGATATGGGTAGGTACCTTTCAAAAGCTTAATAAGAACGAGACTACTAGAATTTGCTGTGTTCTGCAGCATCGGCCCAAACACACCGGTTGGACAAACAGTTACAACATCAAGTCCACTTCTCTTTGCATATTCCCAAGCCTCACTCTCCGCCAATGTTTTGGAAAGGCAATACCAGTTCTGTGTATACATAGCATCAAGTGTTCAAGTTAACTGGGGGAAAGAATCTGATAAAACCTTCTGCCAGTAATTTTTGAGAGGTGATATCGATAAAATAACATCGTCTCACATGTAATTGTTTAAAACAATTTTCATAAAAGGTGAATTTATCAGGCATTTACATTTGATGATCTGCAGTATTCTCTGTCTGACCAACAGGTCTCATCTATTACTTGACCCTTGGGCCTGTTAGGGTTCATCACAACAGCAGCACTTGACGATACATATACAACACGCCCAACATTTGCCTCAGAGCATGCCTTGAGTACATTAAGTGTACCCTTTACAGCAGGCTCAATCAGTTCTACCTGCAATTAAATTCATACTGAAAAATATAGAAGAATAACTAAACTGTGACAGCAGCACTTCTGAAAACAAATTAGCAGCTCCAAAATATAGTGTTGTAGTCACAAAAAAGTTTTTAAGATAATCCAATTTATTGCACTGCAACAGAATGCACCTCAAAGGGCACAAATTCCCTGCCATGGAACAATCGACATTCAACACCAAATTTGATCTTGCAATAAGAATGCAACTGTTTCAGTCAATAATTTTCCTCAGTATTATATATTAGCCCTTGTTTGGCCTCCATTTCTTAAAATTCATTTTCAGCCACTCATTTCATAGGACTCACAAATTTTATCAACTTTTTAACCACACATTTTACCAACTTCTATCAAAATCTATTGAAAATATAATTTTTATCCCAACCAAACAGGGGCTTAATTTCTTACTGTTCTTAGAAACATATTTTTAACATTTACAGTCTCTTAAGCTGTTCAATGTCTACCAAAAGTTAAACTCGAAGTGGCTGAATCATTTGACTATCGTTGATAAAGAAATTGAAACCAAGGGACTGATGTGTGATTTAACCTGAAAGAAGTAATTGATCCATTTTTTTTTTTTTTACTAGCTACGTGTACGGAAAAGCTATAAGCCCAAAAGAATTTTTTCCGGAGGTTTCCCCAAAAACTTTGCAAGTAATAGCTCATTTATTGCTTTAATAATTACACTCCACATATTCACAATTCAATTAAAGTCATAAATAACCATGACATAATCATGCCTCGGGATTTGGCACGGAGGCTGGTGGAACTGGACTTGCAACATGGAATACTCCATTGCATCCTTTTATGGCTGCAGAAATTGAGTCATAATCCAGCAAGTCTGCCTTGAAAAGTTCCAGTTTCCCAACCACGTTATCGAGGTTCCTCAAATGAACATTTTTATCATCAGCTGCAAGACACATACACTTGACATGTATATATCTTTCTAATCAAAATAACAAAATTTTCCTAGCCACACCTTCCACCACTATCTGATTTTGAAAACACAAGCTTGTAGAATCACTTCCATTTCAAGGGTATAATTCAATTTCTCATGAAAAAAATGATAACAATTTTCAACATAGAATTGCCCATTTGCCCTATCCAAAGGCCCTCAAGCAAAACCCCAACAGTATTCCGTGGTAATAAAATGATTTGACAACATAAATAATAAATGGGCAGTAGTAAATAAGAGCAGAATTCTACATATCAGATGAAGAAAGAAGAGAAATGTTAAGCAGCAATACGTATAAAGCCTAGAGGATTTTGTAAGGGTTATAAGAAAGATTCATTCATATCTGATTTGAATTACAAAGCAAAAGCAGCAGCGTGTGAAATTGAAGAGGCACAGAGAAAGACAAGATCGTAGAGGATACAAACCAGGATTTCTGACGGTGCCATGAACAGTATAGCCCTTGGAGAGGAGAAGCTTCACAAGCCATGAAGCTACAAACCCGCCTGCCCCTGTCACGCAGACTGTGTTATTCGTCGCCATTGAAACACAAATGGAACAGACAGAAACTCCCTAATAATACTCAAAAATTGTAAATAGGAATTATTTCCCTGTTTGGTTTAATTAAAAGTAAGACTTTTGATAAATTTTGATAAAATTCGATGAAGATGATTATCCATTGTGGAAGTTGTCGACTGCCTGAAGAAACATGTTTTGTTCCAATATTATTCTATTACTAGTGGTCGCTATAGTGAAATAAAGAATGACCAAGACTCTACATCCCAATCCAATTGCTTACATTAAAAAAATCCTAATTATTTATTTTATGTTTGGCAAAGTAATTAAGTACTTATAAGTTATGAATTACCAAGTGTGAATCTTCAATATGTTAATCCTAATGTGCATGAAAAGTAAGTGTGAATCTTCAAAATGTTCGAAAGAAATTATATTTAAGTATCTAAGAAGATTAAATCTTTGCCAAACATGCTATAAATTATCTGATACAAATTTTTTTCTTTTAGCATTTTTTTTAATATAAAGTGCTCCTACGACCTCGAAAATGTTAAGAGTATAACTTTTTCAAAAAAAGTTGGACATCGTCCATTTTATCATCTTTCGTCTTTTTCAATAGTCAAATTAATCTCTAATAATATACAGAGTTCAAAGAATTTTAAGAGTTTGACTCTCTAAAATAAAGAAAATAAAGTAATTAAAAAAAAACATATTCGAAATGATTTAACTATCTTTAGACTATTATTTGACTTTTATATACTTTTAATTTTTTTTTAAATATAAATCTTTTATATGACTTATATTGTTCATTCTTATGAAATCATCACATGCAGTAACAAATTTTTATTTTTAATGTCATTAACACATTTTTTAAAATATATATAAGTCACCTAAATTAGAAAAATAAAAAACCAAATTACCAAAAAAAAAAAATTTATAACATCAATTCTCTTTGATGAAAAAAATAAATCTCTAAGATTCAATATTATCAATATTTTACCAATATATAAATTTTTTATTATATTTTAAAAGTACAATTAAAATAATAACAAGTTGAAAAGAGAGAATAATATTGATATTTGTATTGTGTCTTTAGGATTCGTAGAATGAAAAAGAGGGAAGAGAAATATTGAAGAAAGAGTGCAATGTTACATTGTGAAAGACATTTTTTTTTTCCATTTTCCTTTTTTTTTTTCTTTTTTTTGGCGAAAGTCTTTCAAAATTTTGGAGTGAATGATTTTTATTAGATTTTGTATTTGTAATTTCTACTTAAAAGTTATTAAATTAAGGATTTTTTTTAAAAATCATTAAAAGTGATTGATATTTTGGATAGTCGTGACTTTTTAGGATTTTAGAAAGTCTAAATTTAATACTTTATGATTTTTTAGGACGTTTAAACAATCAATCTTGAATACTCAATGAAATCAAAACAATTATAAACTTTGCAGCAATGCGCTTAAATTATGGATGAATAAAAATATTTATACAAAATTTTGTTGACAAAATGGTGTACTGACTCTCACAAAATTAGCGGATCCCACGTGAATTTAAAAAATGTCGACTTGTGGTCCTTCTCCTTATTGTGAGTAGTGAGTAATAGAGTTTGTATACGTAGTATGATCCATTACGGATAAGCCTTTAAAATATTTCTTATCAACTTTACTTCAAATCTTCTTTTCTCTTTCGTGTTTAGTCTGGATCAATGAGCATTCAAAAATTTTTAAGCGTATAAATGTTTTTTTTTTTTTTGAGACTTCAAATATATTGGTTAAACTCCGTATTCAAATATTATGATCTTACGTCTAAAATGACAAAACGACTTGATCCATTGTTGAGTTCTATGGATCCTCACAATACTCTAAGGTTGTCTGGTTGTAATTTTCTAAAGCCAAGAAACTGTTTTTTTAACCTTTTTTTAAAGGTGGATCCCACATAAGACACAACCAGTCAATTAAAGTGGCTGCCAATGGGAAGAATTTTGCTGTCAACGGTAATAATTTAGCTGAAAATTTCTCCCATACAAGCACTCTATTTTACTTGTCGTGATTTTGGATTTTTAGCTTCATTTTTAATAAATTAAAATATCCCGGATTGTTGAATAAGAAAGTTTCATTTTGACCCGAAATCCAAATTGTAACTTAAAAATAAAAATAAATAGCAAAAATTCATCATTCATTCTCCGTCATCTCTTATGAAAATTGACGGTGACATTCGTTCCTTCATGATTTTTTTTTTTTTTTTTTTAACTCTCTTTCGTTCTATCACTTCATTGATAACTTTTATAAGAGTTCATTTGCATTTTGTTTTTTAACATATATGTATTCTAATTTTTCCTCTTTTGGATTGAATTGTTAATTGATTTATTGAGAATCAGTCGTACAGCTAGACCTGGATTCACGAAATTATAATGACTTAGTTGCTAACGTTGACCCCAAAAAGTGCGCCAACAGATGCCGGTCCCACCCGCACTTGCGTGGGCGAATGTCCAACACGCTAAGACACGTGGACGGTCTAAAACGAGCGATTTAAAGGGGCGTGGGAGTAGCCCAACGACGCGGGACGGTGACGTTCGGAATCCGGCGGGTTGTTCGTAATCCGATTGTACAATAATTACCAACCGGTGCTCGTAAATATATATATGTGAAAGTGTATAAACTCGATTTATGTATTGTCAGTAAATGAGAGAGAGTTGAGTAAATGTAGTCTTGGGTATTGATTCTTGCATTAGCCTTTGACATTACACAATGTGAGTATTTATAGTGATACATATGAAATGGGAGTCCTTGGATGAAGTGGCACGTTGCCTCATCTCCTTAGTTCAAACGTCTGTTCTTAGGTATGGGACTTAACTTGCTGCTTACGGCGCCTTTATTGCTTGCGCAGGTCCTTTATACTAGTGACAAGACTTGACCTTTATGCTTGTGACAAACGTTCCATCAGTCATTCGAATAAGATCTCTGAGCAGGCGATCTCTTGGGAGAAGTGATAGTGGAGGAAACTCCTTGTGGTTAGGAGGCTCGCGCATCAGTTTCGGGGCTTCGACCATTTGACAAATACCCCCACCTGAGGACCTGAGCTACATTCAACAGGTTCCATGCTTTGGGTCATGGGACTTGGTAGTTGGACTTCGGCAGAGTACGTCGGATCGTGGTGCCTCGGTGGATGGACCTCGGCTCGAAGCAGTTCAGATGTAGCCCACCTCGGCAATGTGTGCCACCTCGCGCAGGAACGCCACGTGAATCAGGATGAGTGTGCCATTGGCTCGGGTAGGTATGACATGTGTGACAACACGCAACAATAGTCCCCCAAGTCTAAGTATAGATATTTATATCATGGTTGGGGTTTGAGAAGTGTTGCCGTTGATGAATGATGAAGAAGCCTAGGTGGTTGAATAAACCGAACCTGCGAGGTTTGATTGCTGAATGGTGAGGAGGAAGCCGAGGTGGTTCAGGGACCGAACCTGCAAGGCTTGAATGCTGAATGGCGAGGTGGAAGCCGAGGTGGTTGAGGAAACCGAACCTGCGAGGCTTGAATGCTGAATGGCGAGGTGGAAGTCGAAGCCGAGGTGGTTGAGGAAACCGAACCTGCGAGGCTTGAATGCTGAATGGCGAGGTGGAAGCCGAGGTGGTTCAGGGACCAAACATGCAAGGCTTGCCGAGGTCCAATGGTAATGATTGTGCGTTGGTTGTTGTGTCAATGATTTGATGTTTTGTGCTTGTTTTCGAGGAAAGGTAGCTGAACCGTTACGACTTCCAAGGCGCTGCTGCCGTCGAATTAAAAATATAATTATGAGGACAGCTGGCGTTTCTAGAAGCAGACGCGTTGGAGAGGTGCGTGGGAGGCACGCATAAATCTGAGGCGTAGGATTTAAAAACTGTTTGAATTCAACGCCTTGGATTGGATCTGAAATGGAGGGCTCGAATTGATTGAAATTTGATCTGACGGCTGGGGTTCGTCTTGGGCCTTTATAAAAGGCAAGAAAATCCCAATTTTCAGGATTTTTGAACACTTTGCACTCTGAAACTCTCTCAAATCTCCAATTTTTCGGCGTCGAGCTTGTTTGTGATATTAAATTTCGACCAGTATCCGTTTGTGTCGAACTCGTTTAGGTATTGTTTGCATAAAAAACCCTTGTTACTATCTTTGTACTGACAAAATGGAGTCCACTTCGGGTAGGGAGCTTGTTACAGTGGCGTCTTTAGACTATGGGGTCGGTCATGGGGGGATATTCGAGGTGGATAGGTATGCCATGGCCGAGGAGGCTATAGATTATACCCAGGAGTGGGGGGCTTCTAGAGTGCCCTCGAATATAACGGGGAAGAGGTTGGGGGAACTTAGGGAGAGGTACAGTGTACCCCATAACATAGAGATGTTAGTGCCCGAGCCGAACGAGCGGGCCTGCTATCCGAGGCCCGGCTGCGTGGCCGTGAGTGAATACCTGTTCAAGGCAGGTATGCGTCTTCCTCTGCACCCTTTCTTTAGGGCGGTGCTTAGGAAATTCATGCTGTCGCCAACCCAGGTTCTGCCGAATGGGTGGAGCCAGCTGGTCGGCTCGTACTTCCTGTGGAAGGAAATGTCACTTGGGGAGGACATGCCTCTTCATGTGTTCATGACACTGTTCCAGCCCCAGGTAATTGGGAAGGAGTCAAGGGGGTGGTACTACCTCACGCCTTGGGGGGCTCACGCACCCTTTGTGGTAGGACTTCTTTCCTCTATCAAGGGGTGGAAGGAGTCCTGGTTCTGGGTGCGAGGTAAATGGCAGGCAGTGGAGGGTGACAAAGCCCTGTCATGCACAGTGCTGACCCAGTACTACGAAGCTCGTGAGTCTCCCAACCTCAGCTTGTCTTTTGAAGTCAAAATATGAATTCGTTTAACTGTTGGAGGTTCCTTTGCAGATAGTAGTACGAGGTTCGAGCTCAGCAGGGAGGAATTCGAGGTGATAGAGGACATTTACAAGAGGCCTCTGAAGTTTCGGCACTTCGATCACCTGATTGATAGAAGCAGATACTTCTTGGACTTCGAGCTGATGTCATCCAGAGGTTTGAGGCCCCAACACTTGATCCCTTGTTTTTATCCTTATTGTTTCTTATGCTGATGCTGATCTGACATATTGTGCAGACAAATTCAAGAAGAGTGAGTACCCTGCTCCGAACATGGCCTCTATCTTGAAGGCCACTTCTACTGCGAAGGCGAGGCCCCTGAAGCCTGGGTCCA